GTGTGTGTATATATATGTGTGTGTGTGTGTGTGTGTTCTCACCAGGGAGTCTGTGCATATAGAGTCTGTCTCTCACACTCTGGTTAATTAGCTGCTGCACAGTTGGAGTCCGTCCCTCAGCTGTCCATTACTCTCACACACACACAGACACACTAACACACACACAATCACATGTACATATACACACACATGTTTAGCGTGCACTTACAGTACATAGACGCCCCCCCGCCCTCCGGGTTTCATTACAGTTATAAATAATTCAGGGTCTGGGCCTCGAGGCCTCGAGCGTCTGTCAGCATTAGACAAACAGCAGCGAGTCGACCACGTTATGTTTATGAACCACCGCCTCCACTCTGTCAGCCACATGCAACACACACATATACATTACACACACACACACACACACACACACACACACACTGCATTCATAAACATACACATTATACACACACACACATCAACAATGCATTCATAAACACACATACAAACATACCCTCCTGAGAATTATCATGTTTTACAGTGGCTGGTTTGTAATTGTTACACACACACACACACACACACACACACACACACACACACACACACACACACACACAGAGTCTTCGGAACAACCCAATTTCTTTCCAGGGATCAGTTCTGGCTCCAGATGCATTTCCACTCAGTTACAGTCGTCCGCTGGATAAATTGCTGTGTCTCCGCGCTGACAGACATTTCACGGTGGATATCAGGGAGCGAGGCGGAGGTGGCCCTGATTTAAATTACCTCTCAGGTGTCACCGAGGGACGGACGCCGTCGTCCGCTTGTCCTTTGCCTGCTGGTTCTGTTTGTGAAGGACAAACACGAGAGACGTTTTCTACACAGCGTCAAGGTCAAATAAAAATGGGAGGGATGATGTTTAATTTAAAATATAATTAACATGAATAATTAATACACATTATTATGAGGGATCAGTTATCATGACAGAGATTAAACCCTTCTTCATATTTTACCTTTTGTTCTGACAGATTCTTCTGTGTAGAAATAAAGATGAGATCACGGTTGGTGTGTTCCTCTTCTTAAAGCTGCTCCTCTCTGTGTGTGCAGGCTCACGAGCGCTCGGAGAGCGTGGAGGTGACGTTCGTCACACAACTCGTCAAGAAGCTGATGATAATCATCGCCCGGCCTGCGCGTCTGCTGGAGTGTCTGGTAAGAACCAGTGAAGAACGTTACACAGTGACTGACCCGGTTCTGTCGCTAAAACAGAAGCATGAAGCAGAAACACTTTGATTATAATTTTCAGAACCAAAGAACCAAAGAGCACATTGATTGTTGAAAATAAGAACACTTACTTTATTCAACCATTTTGGCCACTTTATAAATCTATTGAACTTTTT